CCCCAAAACCCCAAAACCCCAAAACCCCAACTTAAGTAGTATAAATATTAGTTAGGTATTATTTTAAAGCTAATTAATTCTATTTACATAAAATCAATATAAAAACAAAAAAGTTAATAGCACAACTTTAAATCTAGAAAATAAAGTTTGTAGGAGCATCTACAAGTATTTATTAATTTGTTTAATTCAGAATATCTGGCAATTTTTCTACTCCTTAACTAATTCAGGCTACTTGTGTTATGTAGTTTCCAAATCTTTATGAGTTTTGCTAATCTTGTCTTATCTATTTCTAGATTTTTTCATGCTTATTTGTCCATTAGAATTCCCAATAGAGTGATCTATCTTGGCTTTAATTTGATGATTTTAAAGGTCAGAAGAGTCTGTTTAGTTATTCTCTGTGATTTGGTTTAGAATATACTGTTTTTATAAGACCATTTTATGCTAGCCTGCTGTAGGGTTTACTCTTTGTCTGTATTTATTTTGACTATTGTCTCGTGATTGCTAGTTTGACCTGCTATAGTAATTGTTATTTGCAAATTGTAAGTTGTTTAGGAAGTTTGGATTCCCATTGCTATTCCTCAGCTTCTGATTCATAATGTTTGCACTATTGTTGATGATACTATATTAGTTATTATAGGCTTAAGGATCTGAGAATTTTACTAATTAGCCTTATCTGAATTCATTTGACATTTATGTACTGTATATTCCAGGGTTACTAATTCTAACTTGTTCAACTTAATGATGTTTTTGTTATTTTCTGAGATCGTTCTATGTAAGTGACGGCCGGTACTTAACTTTACTACTGTTTTCAAACATTTATCTATCGCAACTTCTGAAATTTATTCTTGAGGCACTTCTCTCTTTCTCATACAGCTCTACAGCCTTGCTAGTAAGGTAGTTTCCATTTAATGCTAAATTTTAGCTTTGATAGAAACTCTGCAACTCGTGAGGACTTATCTTTCTTGGGTGTAATGTGTTGTGAGAATGAGCTAAAGATTAGATTCTATCATTTACATTTTATATTGAGCCATTGTGACTTCCAAACATTAGATTTTGATGACTATTACCTAGAAAGCCATTTAACTGAAGAGACTATTGACTTCCATTATTGCTAGGGTTTCTTGATACCTGCCTTGATTAAGTACAAGCGCTTAATTATGTTTAAGTTAGATTGCTCATTCTCTGCTTCTATAGTATCATTTTTCTATGCTCATTAATTTAATTCTAGCTAGTAAGACTAGCCGAAGTTGTAGCCATACTCGAGGTGATATGATTATTTTGAAAGGATTTATTAAATACAAAGTATGGATTCGGTAACCCAAAGCCGTTGCTTTAATATACGACTCCCTCATTAATCTAATTTTCATTTAATCTCTCCATACTTAGCTAGTGAAGATGATTAATGCTAGATCTTGGATTTGATCCTGGTTGAGATCCTTGATTCTTGTTATTCTATGAGAACATAGTTTAGATAAATGCCTATTGGGATTGCATATTTGAATGTGTGGTTTAAGGCTAGATAATAGATTGCGATGAAGATAATCTTGAAAGATCTTCATCGTCATCCTCTTCGTCTTCACATTCACTGCAGTAACTGCAACTTGATGTCTCTTTTCTTATCATTGTTGGATTAGACTCTGATGGATGATAGATATTTTAAGTTAGCATATATGAGTCCTTGGTGGGATTTTATGTTATCATGATTGAGTGGAGCATCATATCATTCCCAAGTATTCCATAATTTGAATTGTCTTTATTACTGGACATGTTTTATGTTGTAAGTCTCTTAGTAGATTAAGGTTAATTATAATTTGACATCACTTGAGAGGACATGTCTCCTACTTCATATCTGTTTACTTAAAGCATGTGCTAATCTCTCTTGGCCTTAATTAAAGACTGCCTGTTTTAAACTGGCTGGGTACTCACTCTCATATTTTGAGAAGATGATTTTTTCTATAAAGGTATCTTTGATTTTTTGTTCGAGATTTTTTTCTCAACTGGCTATCCAATAAGATGATACACATTTTTCTTAATTTCATCTTGCTTAATAATCACTTGAGATTTCTTCCTTTGGTTCTTTATTTACTTTTGTAGGACTTTTTTGATAATTCCCTTTTGAAAAATGGGACTAACATTATCCAGAGGAGCTTTTTTAACAATCTGCCTAGTTTCTGGTATCTGTCTATGAGAATTTACACCTTCTGATGTTTCTAGTACTGAGTCAAGCATCTAGGAGGCATCAAACATTTATGGCTCACTTATTCTCTCCTTTTTCTGAGTATTGCTTGTATTAGAATATCTCCAGTCATTCTTTCCCTCTTAGGAAGATAATGAGTTAGAGGTAGCATTACTATATATTTGATTAAATTTTTCCTTTAACGCTTTTTTAAAGGCTGGAGTTGCTTTTGACTAATCTAGAGTCACATGGTTTTTTTGGCTTTAAAATTCTTTCTATGAGTTTCTGAGCATATTTTGCAATGTACCCTAACTTATTCTACTATTTGACTGCTATCTCATCAATGTCACTGGTAGAGTGTTTGAATAATCTAAATCACAATAGTTCTACTTGAGTTTGTTGTTTGGATTCTCTGAAAAAGTCTAATACTAGAATCCTTAACTAGCGATTCCATCTATCAGCATGAAATCATCTCTCTTACTATCTAGTTCAAAGATCTACTTATCATTTCCGATATTTCTAGATTTCTAATCTTTTTGATTATTAAGCTTTTAAATTTGCTGGTCTACGGTTTACTATATCTTAAAATTGGAAGTTTAAGCAGAAGATGGTAAAGAGCAGCATTATTCATCATCAAATAAATTGAATTCATTAGTATGACCACATAATGACTCTATGTTCTTACTTTTGAATAATGGATTGCTTTCATCTATCTCATCCTCGTCATACTCATCATCTTGGTCATCATTCGAATGAGAGGAGTTGAATGAATTGAACTGGTCAGTCTCATTTAGCTATTGCTATTACTACTGTTATTTTTTTAGTTAAAAGAATTTTTATGCTTCACTCTCAATAATCTTACTGAAGTACTGATTCTGATTATTGATATTTTGCGATCTGTACTGCGCACTTTAGTTACGACTTGAATTGTGGTTATCTAGAAATTACTGATATTAATTCTGTTGGGAGTCATTAATAATCTAGATGTTGTTATTATTGCGTGGATAGTTCACTTGTCTCTAGACTTAGGACTAATTCTCATTGTGGATAACTGTGTTATAACTATTCATTCTCCCTCCACACTAAGAGCTTTAAGACAAAGGTGAATAGATATTACTTGGGAAAGATTCTAAATTACTGATATCAAATTTCAAAACATTTGTATTTTGCTTTTTGATGTGATGATATGTTTCATTTTAGCTAGCCTGCCCGAATTACTGAAACAAGGATGTCTATTAAGAACTATCTGGTGGAGAGAATAATTATTAGCTTGGTTTATCATTTATCGCCATTGTTTTAAATGCGTTTTAATGCATCTAAGTAAAGTCGAAATTTAAGTTTTATATCAGCAAGTTCTCTTAAGAGTTGGTATTGTTGCCTTGGCTAAAGTTATCTTGCTAATTAAGAACTTCGATAACCTGCTGTTTACTGCTCTAACGATGAATCATTGCTGGGTTGAAAGCGAAACTCCCTAAATCATTTATTACATTTTACTGATCAATTTATTTCTTGATATCTGTTTTTCTTTCATTAATACTGTAAATAGTTTCCTAATTAGGATTTGATACTTGTAGATCATCATCTAAGCAACTGTCTAAAGTTCTATGTACTCTGGGAGTCCCATCCACATAGTCATAGTCATCAGTAAAGTTGTGATCTGGATGAGTGCTTTTTCTCTTGACTGTGCCCTCAGGTGAGAAATTCTGAGAGGGTGAATCTATATTTAAACGCAAAAATTCTTATTTTCTATTTGTCTTCTGTTAAGAAGAATTTGTCTTATCTGCTTTTCTTTCTTAATTTACATTACTTTGCTTGATGCTTGTCCTATTGTTTGAGGGAGAGATGTACTTTGAGGCATATCTATCAACTAATTTTTCATGCTGCTTCTCAAAGTTCTAGTATTAAGCGAGAAGATCATGCTTTAACTTCTCGAGTTAGGCTTCATTTATCTAGGGCTGTGTGTTTCTTACGACTTTATTATTCATATTTAGAGCTATTGGATGTTACTATGTTTGAAATTGGGTATTTTATTATTTGTTCTATCTTTGACTCTATTGATTATGTGGTAGTTGCTAGTGAGCTGAATTGATTCTTAGAGTAGGCTACTTGGCTGATTGTTTAGTCTACTGAATGACACGCTTTTTTTCATTATGAATTTAAAGAGGCAGCTGTTGCATCTCAACAATACCCTTTAGTTTATGCATTGATTTTGAAAAATAAGGGGTAATAATGGCAGGAGCTACCTAGGAATTGCTCTGATTAGATAGCTAGTTCCTTGATTATTTGCTTTTTTGCAATTATAAGAGAGAATTGATATCTTTAGTATGAGGATAAGCAGTTGGAACGCAAGCGGTGTAAAGTCTGTTTTAAATGTTATTATTTCCGCAGGTGCTGTTACCTAGTTTGTTAATTTTCATAAATAAATATTTTCATACACTTTTAATTTCTACACTTATCAATTTTTGCACTCTTGATTAATTCTTATTTCACGGGGTTTTGGGGTTTTGGGGAGATCGGAAGAGCGTCGTGTAGGGA